TTTTTTTTTTTTTTTTTTTTTTTTTTTTTTTTTTTTTTTTTTTTTTTTTGCGTCCAGGCATGAAATACTTGAAAACTAACAATTACATGAAAATTTTTCAACGAACCTAGTTTTCTGATGTGTAGGTAAGAGAGCATTTATCGCTGGTGTAGCTGATGATAATGGATATGGGTGGGCGATTGCAAAAGCTCTTGCGGCAGCTGGTGCTGAAATTCTTGTTGGCACGTGGGTGCCTGTAAGTGAAATAGCTTGCTCAAATAGTTAATGTCTTTTTTGCACAAATCTTTTTGGTTATCTCTTGGGCCAATGTTTAGCATTAGAAACTTTTCTTCTTCAGGCCTTGAACATTTTTGAATCCAGCTTCAGACGTGGAAAGTTCGATGAATCGCGAGTGTAAGATATCATTCTTATTTTTATCCATATTTTTACCAAAGTAAAGTGTTATTTGCCTATAAACAGTTCAATATTTCAGACTGCCAGATGGTTCACTTATGGAGATCACAAAAGTATATCCTCTAGATGCAGTTTTTGACAGCCCGGAGGATGTTCCTGAAGATGTAATTTTTCAATCTCTATTGGTATGGTAAATCTTTAATTCTCTGTGTTGAGCACGCTTGTTTCTCCCATCCATGCAGATAAAAACAAACAAACGCTATGCAGGATCCTCAAATTGGACTGTGAAGGTACACACATAGCATTCCCTTTGAATACCTCTATATATGGAAAATATTTTCTTAGTGATATGGTGGATTTTCCACGTGAATGAATTTGAAGTCTTGCTACAAGATTATACAACTGATAAAGCCAAAAGCCAAGTAGCTAGTATCTCTTGTTGTTTTATATGCATGAGAGTGTTGCTTGAATGAATTGTGCTGGAGTTTGCTCACGTCTATGAGTCATTATCTCATTGGACTTTCCTAATGTATTTGCGTGCTTCTATTTTAATGCGCTGGAAAAATGTAAAACTTCTTGCAGGAAGTTGCTGAGTGCGTGAAGCAAGATTTTGGCAGCATTGACATTCTTGTGCACTCCCTTGCTAATGGACCGGAGGTATTTAGCTAGGGAGTTTCATTCAATAATAGCCTTTCGAACCTTGCTTGTTTTCCATAAAACAAAGATGCTCTTTGTAATAGGTAACGAAACCTCTGTTGGAAACATCTCGGAATGGTTATCTAGCAGCTTTATCTGCATCAAGCTACTCTTATATATCTCTACTGAAGCATTTCGTTCCAATCATGAATCCAGGCATGTTGAAATATTTCCATTATAAAGACTTTTCGTTTTTGCCTTTTACACAGTAGCTTTTTTTCCAGTTATTTGTTAGGCGAGACAAGGAAAGCATATATAAGGAGAACTTTGGTTTTTGTTATAGGTGGTGCTTCATTATCCCTCACGTACATAGCTTCTGAAAGAATCATTCCAGGGTATGCATGTAACATGTTTGCTTGGCAACCTTATATTCAAGGAAAATATGCTTGGCCTGCCCCCTTTGCTTTCTCTTACAACTCTTCTCAAACTACATTTTTCTCTTATAAGGGTGGTCTGTATCACCAAAATTTCACTTGGATATCATTGTAATCGTATTCTTAATTCAGGTATGGAGGTGGCATGAGTTCTGCCAAGGCTGCTTTGGAGAGTGATACACGAGTAAAAAATTTTCCCTCTATTTCTCTCTTTCTGTGGGGCTGGAACTGTTCTTTCTTACCATAATGAGAGTGTTGTATTTTGGAATTTGGTTATTATTCTTCTAGGTACTTGCTTTTGAAGCTGGAAGAAAGCACAAAATCAGAGTCAACACAATATCTGCGGGTAAACCTTGCCCTTCTGTTTTTTTTTTTTTTTTTCACTATTTTATTTTTCTGAAAACACAACACAGTATCTGCTGCTGAAAAGGCATTTTATCTAGATTTACATTGAATTATGTGTTTCTTGTTCCTTTTGGGAATCACAATATTACTAATGTTTCTATATGTGAATTTCCACATGGAAACTCTTGAATTCTCTACTCTAATATCCATTTCGTGCTTGTTTCGTCTCCTGATTTGTAATATCTGTTTCCTGCTCGTGTTCAGGTCCACTAAGAAGTCGAGCTGCAAAAGCAATCGGGTTTATTGACATGATGATTGACTATTCATCGGTCAATGCACCTCTGCAGAAAGAACTATCTGCTGGTAAAATTTCCATCAATTCTTGTGAGCATGCTCCTTTTCTCACTTTACCATTACTGACTCATACTGAAATGCTCCTTTTAATATGATGAAACAGAGGAGGTGGGGAATACAGCTGCCTTCTTGGCATCACCTCTGGCTTCTGCTATTACTGGAGCTGTTATTTATGTAGATAATGGTTTGAATGCAATGGGCGTGGGAGTTGATAGCCCGATGTTCAAGGATCTAGATATTCCAACAGACAAGCACTAAATTTGCTTGCAGATTGGTTGATTGATGATGGCCTTGCCAAGCTTAGGAAGTTTAGCCTAGAGTGTTGTTGCCTCAGCTAGTTCATGACTCTTCTTTCCTATTGTTGGAATTGGTTCTAGGAGAATGGCTTGGCTAAGCTGCCTCGATTTTGGATTTTGTTTCTGATTATGCTCACTGTAACCGCCACAAGAGGATAGTTCCTAAACGTCCAAATCTGGATGCAGGCACTGTGATAGTACGTTATGTTTGAGAATATTTCTTCTTATTCTGAGGAATAATTTGAACACTTATACTTTTCCACTGATTCGGCTACAAATCAAAATGGATATCTTAAGAATTTATCCAAATATCATGAAAAAATCTGAAATTATGGCAAGCCATGTGCCTCTTATTCATTACGAGACGTCACTAAGCTTGGCACCTTTGTAGGAAAAGTTTCAAACGTCTTAGCTTCAAGTCTACTACTAGTAGATATTGTCACTTTCCCTTTCAAGCTTCCATTCAAGGTTCTTAAAATATGTCGGCTAAGGAGGTTTCTATTCTTGTTCTATCGATGTGGGATCTCACAATCCATTCACAATCCATTCCTCGCAAATACTACTATTTTTTGTTTTGGATCTTCCAAATCATTTCTATCTCACCGTTCACTCCTAGGTTTGGACTTTTTTTTTCTTAATCCTTCCTAAAAAGATTCATTCTCATAAAAATAGGAGGGAGAACCAATAAATATTTCTTTTTCGATTCATGGAGTTGAATACCATTAAACATAGACTTCGAAGTGAACAAACCGAAGGAGATGGAGTTTCAAGAGACTTTGAATCATTTTCCAAGGGTAACAAGTACATAGTATCTAACTAGTTAATGTCATGGAATACATATAACAGGCAATGAACACTAATTCAAATAAACTTCTGCTCACAACATGCTGTCTGATCTTGCAGGCAATCTTCTAAAGAAGGTTGAAGGAACAGAAGGAAGTTTGTGGCGAAATCTTGGATGCCTCAGCACATAAATGCCTGCAACAAGGCAAATAACTTGAAATGGTGTAACATACAAAATTATAGCGGCAATCAAGCAGAATGTTACAAAGAGAGCACTTGCTCTTGGATCTCTCCAACTCAGTAGCGATTGAAACCTTTCTCCTTGAGTTGCAAGATCCCCGACCACAGTTTGCACCCTCCCGGCTATGCTCCGAAGGCGGTCGTATCTCATCCGAATGATATCGGTAGATCGGGATGTAGGAAAGGAGTCAAATTCTTCATCTAGTTCATCAGGATGAGTTGCATCAGCATGAGACAACCTGGTGTCCATGTGTTGGGGGTGTCTAGGCCTACGCCTGAAGTTCCATATACCGATAACGAAAAGGTAGAGAAAGATGGTTGGAAGAATGAGCTCGGGATAAAGAACTAAAATGATGAAAAGGATGTGGATTAATACTGTTGTAATGGGGTTCTTCCAGTTGCAAATATGATCAAACCATTTACCAAAGGCCATCAAGCCGCCAAAAACTCCCATTATTCTGAAGAAATTGGCTTTGCTTCTCCTCATGCTCCACATATGTGAATCCACATCCAACATATACTCGACGACCTCTTTCCTCAACGCAGGCTCGGCACGGCCTAGTCTCATCGACACAATTTGCATAGCCTGGCGCCTTAAGGTATCAAGCTGAATTACTGATAATGGGTGAATGTAATGCATTTTTGGCAACAATGGGCTGGAGTACATATGCAACATGTTAATCAAAGATGAACAACTAAACCTTACAGCCAACTGCACTTCACCCATTTTCTTCACTCCTGAAGAATGAAGGACCAGAAGTGGATATGAATGAGTGTAGACCCTCTCAGTTTCAAGGGTCGATAGCCGAATCCGAACTTTTCCAATCCTTGAATCTTTTACGCTGCTTCCCCCACCTATATAACCATTATCAAACACCCCAACAGTAATAACAGTGCAGGGATCAAAAACCTCCCAAGTGTACTGTTCGTTCCACTTCGGAGTGAAACTGTCTACAATAGTCCTCGTTCGAACCCACTTCTGTCCGTATTTTGCCACGCAATAGGAATCAGTCGTCCCTCTGCTATCTTTCATCTTCATTGGTATGAGCCCTTGAGCACTAAGAATCCCCAACTCAAGAACCCCAATACTAGATTTCCACAACTGTTTTGCAGTAGGCCTAAGATCACTACTGTAGTGGGTTGACTCATCCAACACATGATACCCACCATCCAAACAAATCCTAAGATGAATCCTACTGGCAAACTTAACTTCTTTTTTCTGTTCACCATCTGCAATAATATGTTTCTCAAGATTATACCATCTAGTGCTAACAGGTTTATGATCTAATCGCCTCTGCACATTTTGCAGGGGAATCAAACACCTCCCTAGAATTTCGTCTTTGTTTGATGCCACCTTGTCTTCTACTGTCAGAAGCAATGGCTCCTCAAATGGCTCAGCAGCCACAAACAGTAAGTCCTCATTCCACATTGGATTTATAGTCTTGCTTTGAGATATCCTGGTTCTTATAGCTTGAGCCCCAATAATAACCTTCGCAAAAACTTCTGGATGCCTACTTTTATCACTCAGTACTAGATCCTGAGCTTCAATGATATTTACTCTTACATACCAAAGTTTGGGAGAAAGATAAACCTTTGATCTGATGCTAGCAATGGCTTCAGATCCCACAGTTGCAGCATCTGAATGCCAGGCATCAGGAAATGCTTCATCTGCTTGAGTTCCCATCCACACAGCCAACATAAGCTCTCCTTTGACTTTATCCCCCTTTCGATCCTCCAGCCTATACCATTGCGGTGCCAGCGGACTGTCAGGAGGGACACGTTTTGGAGCATCGTTGAGATCGAAAATAGCCCGCCCCATGAAATCATCTATTACGTAAGCCTTGTCTTTCACCACCACTTCCAAAAGAGACGCTTGGATTCGTTCTCTTGAGAAAGCAAAAACTTGTTTCCACTCAGGATTGGACTTCTTCTCAAAGTGTTTTGTTGTTCCCTTATAATTTCCAAGTTTCACTTCCACATAAGGATCACAGCTACCAGTGACTTCTTTTCCATGTAAATCTTTAGCTTTCACCACATAAACATAAAGGTATTGCATTTGCTCCACAAGGTCATACGTACTAGACAGCTTGTCTCCCATTATTGACACCGCCCCTATTTTAGGATAGGTCTCCTTAAGAGCAAAATCATGAGATTGAAGAGGCTTCTGCATATTTCTACTTCGCCTGATCCTCAAAAAGCAATAAACTTTTATACACTCAGAATAAGTCTAGCCTTCAACTTCCTCAACTCAAGAATTATTAGGCGAGATTTGTAATGGAGCAACTAGAAGCAAAGAAAACATAGAAAGGGATGAAATTCTGGAACACTCAGATAGCTTCTGTGAGTCCTTCCAACTCTGTTGCAAAATCACCTGCAGATGAAACAAGAGATCACCATACTTTCACTCTTTTGATGAACTCACTTGTTCAGTTAATAAAAGATGGAAAACCCACATGAAACTCGATTCTCATGGAATTTGTTCAATTCCCAGTGTAACGCACACTTGCATATTTGTTTACTTCACATTTACCCTTCTTCTTGCAAGCACTTTCTCGGCAAACAAGAACAGAAAACAGAGCCATTTCTCATGCTAAACGAGAATCATAATGCGCTGCAATCTACTCCTAGACAAATAAACAGGTTCCCTTTTACAAGTAATGGATTTAAGACAAGAAGTAACCTCCAAGTTCAAGGAAAGACAGCTCGTTTGTTTAAATGCCTGATAATAGCCAGAACTAGAAGAAAACAAGACCTCATAAAATAACATTAGCTATAACCACTCCAACCAACATGATAAAATAATATGTAGATAAAACTAAGCAACTTCAAGGAGAAAAGATGGGTTTGTTAAAGGACAAAGAACAAAAAAGAATTGACCTTTCTCAAAGCACTGTTGAACAGAGAGCTTAGTACATGAAATGGAGCTGAAGGGTTGAAATGAAAGGTATCTAAAAGAGTGAACTGAATTAGAAAGTGGGTTTTGGGAGAATGTGGGGTCCGAAATCTGAACATGAAGACTGAATCTCTGAAAAGAGCACAGATAAAAACCAACAAGATAACAACTTTTTTTCTATGTCCATAGCAGGTGCAGACAAATAGCATAGCGCACGTGTGGAAAGCTGTGGTTGGTTTTTGGACGTGTGTAAGAGGGTTGTCTGATGTTGTCCGTTCAAGCACCCTCTCCAAATGGGAAGAAGTTGAATTATATCTCGCTAAGCTTCGAAGGGGACAATGATATCCGAAATAAAGGAGTCTTGATAAGGCTAAGGCCAACTGGGAAAACAACGGACAACCTCTTGCATTGAAAGACCAGTCAATTGTGAGTTTAAGTGTTTGATAGGGAAACCAAGAAGGCAAGGATAGTGCTAGCTCTTTCAGATTGTTGGGTGGTTGAGCAAATAATTAGACACAATGTGTGTTAGGTGTGGTTGGTTGGATTGGTTTTGAGTACAAGTTTAGTCCCAGAATTACTTGACCCAACCCTCTTATTCCCATGAGAATCAACACTAGAATATGATAATACGTTTCATTATTTAGTTGAGATTGGGATGTTGTTTGTAGTGAACATGATTTTGAAATGGTTAAAATCAAATTTAATAGCATGAAGATTGTGTTTGATTTAAAATTCTTAAAGGCATGTTTCGGTGTAATTTCAAAAGTAACAAAATTGAAATCTAATTTCAATTTAACTATGTTTGGTTTTGATGGGTTTGTGTGGAATCACTGGCTTTCAATGGCGGTTTCTGAAGTAATCGAATGTGCTTGTTAAGAAGCTAGTGTCCTGTAAATGCCGAGGGATAATGGCACAAACAATAAATTCAGTCAAAGTTGAAGGAATTGTAGATCAAATATCATCTTTATTACAATCAAAATGTCAGAAGAATGGAGGCAAGTAAATATGAAAAGTGTAGTTCAAGTATTTCCTGAATGCATATCACTCAAACACATGCTATTTTTTATTTGAACTGCATTAATGGTACCTAATTCTGTTGAAAAACACCATGTTTATTAGGTGTGCTCAAGTTAAAATCTTTTCACTTGAACAGGAGCCCCATGCTTTGCTCCGGATTCAAGCATTGCGTCTAGGACTGCAACATCCCTAGCACCCTCCACAAAAGATATACGAGCATCAGCTTTATAGTCACTTCCCTGCAATAATACCAGAAATAGAATCACTGCATTTTATATTTTACTATCACAAAATAAACTTACTAAGTGTATGTTCGACGTATCTTTTATAAGTAATTTTTGAAGAAAAATAGAAATTTTCAGACTATTTTTAATTATAAAAAAATTAATTAGTTAAAAGGTATAAGATAACAGATCAAAGTAAAACTTCTAATCATCTTTAAGCACTTAAAAAGGCCTGCTAAACAGTAAACACCACTCAGTGTAGTGATTATCTATGATGCTACCTTAGCAGATATAGCATCAATAAAAGTTTTTAGCTCTTCGGTGACTCCACTGAATGGATAGAAGGAGCATTTATTCTGTCCATTAGCATCAGAGAGGGAAACCTGAACATGAACTCAAAGATATCAAAAAAAGAAATGGGTCATAGGTGAAAAAGACCATGGAAGTTAGTGAATCGCTAGGACAAATGAGGGTTTGAAGCTTTGATATTCAGAACCAGTGCCCAAAACTAAGCTGAAGATTTTTGGAAAAAGTAAACTAGGTTGACGTTTGATTAAACGATGTACCAGATAGCCATGTTTTCCGTCCTGGTTACCACGCTCGATCTGCAGCGTTCCCTTTAAGCCCACAACTCGCCAGAATATCTGAAGAAATTAAAAATCATTCGGTAAATCGATGAATGTTTTGAGTGATTAAGAAAGAATTTCCACTTCTTGCATAGCAGCATACCCTGGGTGATCTTGAGGAGACTACCATTACAAAAACACCTGAACATCCATTCTCCAGTTGGCTGGAGGAGGGAAAATGTCATCATTCTTCATTTTTAGGATTTCAAATTTGTTGGGGACTCATTTATTAGCACTAGGCGAACAAAACTTACAAGAGCGAGGATATGTTATCAGGCGGAGGTAAGGACTTGTCCACGTAGGAGGTTGTTGCTGACACCGAGACCACCTCACATCCAACAAGCTGTTCACAAATGTAAGAAACTAAAATTTCCGAACTAAGAATCTGTTCACCATTATTTCCTAAGAAAATGGTATTATATATTAAGGGTGATGCCGCCGGGAATGAAGTAAAAGTGTCGTGCATGACTAGGCGATTATTTTACCACAGATCAGAGCCTTTCTCATAGTTAGGCTATACAATGTTCATCACCACGTCATCTTATTGACAGACGTGTACTGATTTATAGGCTTTGTCAATTTTGAGTATGCAGCGGAACAGTAAGAGTAACGTTTGATTTCCTTGAAAACGAAGAGTAATGTTTGTTCAATGACCTTTAAGAATTCGTAAAAGAAAACAAGCGATAGTCATTAGGATGGAGCTCACAAATGTTTTTTCGAAGTGAAAGAAGGTTTCAAAAGCGTTACCATCCTTAATCCAGCAATGAAGTGGACACCCATATCCAGAATGAAACCTCCCTAACACAAGTAAAGACATATGTTGTCAATGGAAGATAAGAATATGCTAGTGTGATAAAAAAGGAATAAAATAGATAAACACATCAAGGAAATACATGATGTAGACCAGAACAATATTTATCCCAGCTTCCATACAATAAAAGTAGAGGAGTTGTTATTTGGCACTCCAATGCGTATCATACGGGGTACCATATTCTCCCATGGAAGAATGTTAGACATGACAATCATGATTGGATGGGGAAAAGGGAAACGACATGTAGAATAACTAAGAATTGTGTTGAGATGGTTTATGAGAAAAACACTTACAGTGAAGTCACGCCGCCAAGAGCTTGAGAAATAGGGGTTTGAACTGTTCATTGATCCTTCAACAATCACTTGGACGCTCATCATATCCCCAATGTCAGCAATTAAGTTTTTGCTCTGCAAAGCAATAAACGAGCATATTGCCAAAGTACGGGAAATACGTAAATGAAAAGAAAAAAAAAGAAAAAAGAAAGAAAGAACCCTACAAACAAATACCTCAACAAAGGCTGGTTCAAATCGATAATTTTCTGCCACAGCCCATAATGGTTTACTAAGAAAATTAGCACTTATAGAGTTGTAGTTTGAAAGTGCATATTCCAACTCGCTTCTTGCTGCATTAACAACATATTGCCAATTAGGAAAATTAACTTTTTGACATTTTCAACTTTGAGAATTGATAAAAGCCCCAAGCCATTTTAGCTGATTTTTAACTGGAGATTCAGAAACAAATGCACTGTATATATATAGAATAAAATGACACTAATTGCCGTAAGATCAAGGAAACAAGTGGCACTCATGGGAAGTCACTTCCTTTCCAAGTGTTATGGGGTTCATGGTTTTGATGATACTCATTTGATTTTCTTTTTTCCACTTTGCTAGAAAAGGTTAAGATGAGAGCTCCTACCTTCATTCAACTCAATATAACTCAGAAGATTAAGATATATTTTCTTTATGATCAATAAAGTTGCATGATCTATTGACCTATGGCTCAACTTTGGCCCATCAGAATTTTCATTTTTCTTTCAGTTTCATAATTAGTGCCAAATCTGATTGTGAAATGCATTGAGATCTATGTGATAGGCAATTAAAGATTTACATTTCCAGATCAACATTCACATTTCTCAAGAGACTGGGCTTCTCAACAGATTGAGATGCAACAAGGAAAAAGCAATTCTTACAGCAAGATATCATGATTGGGATGTGACCAAAAAGCTAATGTGCAAATAACAAAGGCCCATTTAGGAAGGAATACAGATGTCAGGAGTAAGTAGGAAGAATTTCAAGAACAATTAATTTGATGATAGTTAAAAATAGTCAAGAAACTAATTGAATAAATAGGATACTTACAGGCTGCTGCTGGTTTCTCTTCAGATTCATGAAATTGGGAGTTAATACATAAAAAGAAATCCAAACAAGGGGAATATTAGTCGGCTGAATACTCACAGATATTTAAATTAAAAACAATAATAATAATAATCATAAGGAAAAAAGGGGGAACATTATTAGTCTATCATACAGAACCATACATCAATAGAAAGTATCTTAACGTAAGAGCTAAAATTCTTTCTTCATTTGGTCTGGATTATTTCATGTTACTACCTTACTTGAGGTAATTTTCACTGGTAGTTTTGAAGAAACATAGAAACCAAAAGAGGATCTCAATCGTAGAGAGTTCTATTAAATCTGTGAATCTAACCTTTTACTAATGAATCTTTTCCTTTCTAATAGTACGAGACAAATCAAAAACTAGATAACTCAAAATGTGGCCAAACTAATAAATCAACAGCCCATGTAAAACATGCTACACAAACGTTAGTACATAAATCTTCTAAATCTCATGCCGTCTGCAGAATGAGTTGCATTTCTTTACTATTATTTTATTCTTTTCATCAAAATTAACAGGACAAAATAAGCATAACTGGTCGCTCGAAATGGAGGACCTTAGCTGTCTAGCAATATAAGATTCATCTCTAGGACATCAGCATCCGTCATTGAGATTCTTGTGCTATATTTACTGATAAACCACAAGGTGACATAATATACAACAAACAATTAACATAGAACCTGAAAGCCAAACTGCCCATAAGAATGGACTGCACAGTATCCCCTCAACACTGCTTATGCTACTATTTGGCATGGAATTGGTCAAACACATGAGTTTTGAGTGAATCCATCAATATGGAAATAATCAGAGAAGCAAGAAAAACTAGAGTCTGTTTTTAGTTGAGGCATGAATTACCTTGGAGGACATGTTTCCCAGCTTTTAGCAATTTCAATGACATATCAACCTACAAGGCATGATTCAAATGAAAAGAACGGCACATAAAGTGTCAATGCCACGACATAAAAATTAATATAACTTGTAATGTATGTGCATTCCTCCCTTTACTTTACCACCAAAATAAAATTTACAATATTGTCCAGTCTGGTCTAAGTATAATGGATCTTAGATGAGACGGCAATAGTAATAAATTTCCTTCTCTTAATTCATGAGTGGGAGCTGAATAAAGTGCTATGGATTAAAGATTAGGAATGGAATACGGTCGAATCCAAAAGAAATATTGGGCAAAAGATTTCAGGTAAATAGCTAATTTCATAACATTTACAGAAGAAATATAGTGAAATCGTAAGTGGATATCACATTTATGAATTACGTTTACAAAAACTATGAAATACATAATATTTGATTAAAACTACATGAGCAATAACGTCAGGGAGTCTGCAATTCATAACCAAATCGAGAATAAGATACCTGAGCTTGCCCAGCTAATACAACAGCAACTCCAGGAATTGAATTGTCTTGAATTATATCATCAAGACCCGCATCACCCCACTTACACTCCACCGTCGGAAAATATTTTCTAGCAAGTTCGACAGCACCTTTGGCCGATGCCTGCAAGCCAGCATTACTAGCCATTAGTTCAAATCAACAAATTACTTCGCATTTCTTCATCCATCTCTTCCAGTTTCTATACGCATCGAATGTGAGGAAAAGAATATTTTACCGAAACAAAAGAAGTTTTACAAACTGAAAATAAAGTGGTTGTTCGGGAAAATCACTTCAAGTTGATTTCATTGCTTTGAGATTTTTCACCGAACAAATATAAGGACGAGGAGGGAAAGAAAATAAAAGGACCTCGGTGCGGCTCCATATAGCCTT